AAATTCCACAGCCAATAAATTCCTTCGATCACATCATTATCAATAAAAAGGTAATTAACACTTTAATTTGTGCGATCAATTAAAATGATCAAGAAGCTACCTTTAAGAATTAGGGTGTGTTCGCTAGAACCAGTTCCTATCCGAAACAGTGATCATGAAAAATGGAACGGTCCATTAGCACGTGATTAATTAAGTATTTGTAAAAAAATTTTAAAAATAGATTAATTTGATTTTGTAAAGCAACTTTCGTATAAAAACTTTTTACAGAAAACACACTGTTTATCCGTTTGAAAAGCGTGAACGCGGAAAACGATGAGGAGGGGTTGGGAAAGGGGGCATCCGAACACAGCCGTGGCTAGTGGTTACTCAGTTATTGTCTAGTAATCTAGTGTCGCTGATGTATGCATTGACCGTTTGACCTATTTTTAGTCGGCTCTAGAGCATATTTTCTCTCCTTTTTTAGGTTTATAGCTCAATTAAATAAAAAAATAAAAACTAATCCATTATATGCATGTATCTTACCGAATTCGAAAATATACAAGTGTTAAGGGATTGCATTTTTGTCTGTTTTCTGCAAGTGTGTTTGCACTAACATGTTTTACATCTGCGAAGAATGAACTGCTCAGAAGTACATAAACTAAACTACATTGAAATCACATGTTTTTCCCCTGTCTGTATTTGGGGTTAAGAAGTGTTGCTTCAATAGTTCCACTAATGGGAACCAATCCAAAATCAATAGCAACAGTAAGTATGTAGTGTAAAAGAAACGTGCTCTATTAAAACATGGGTAGTCTTGGGTTGCATTTTGTACCAACAAATTTGTCATACAATAACTTAATTTATACCAATTTTCATTTCCCAACATTAAGAGATTTGTTTAAAATACATGAATTTTATAAGGAACACTTCAATTAAAGTGATTTCACCGTCCTTAAAAAGGTACCGGGAATTACTACATTTCTACCGTAAAAATTAGTCTTTATAGAAGGTACCATCCTTTTTTGATAGATGGCAATCTTCTCTCTCTCCTCTTCTCTCCCCTTCAACATATATCAAAAATCATGCGTGGCATCTCCTCCTATACGTTGACATCACACCATTGTTCAAGCTAAGCGAACTATTTAATTTTACTAATTTCTGTCGTTTAGCTATAAGACAGCAATATCATTGTTTTTCTCTCATTTTATGGAAAGAATAGTGATTTCCTCAAAGAAAATACAATCATTTGGTTTCGTAATATGATTATAATTATCATACTAATTAAGAACAGAGTGCACGGCGGTCTAAATCGCCTCGTTGTACCGTACGTGAGCTGGAATACTAGATCGAAAGAAGCAATTTGATTTACTCCAATCATGGGTAAATTTTATAAAATCCCACATATTTTGGTCCAAATTTCACAAAATTGCAGGAACTTTGACACGCGACGCATAACCCTGGTATTATGGTTCTAACGTTTCACAAAACCATATTACTATGACTTTGATCAATTATATTTTTGAGTTTTACAATCACATCTCAAATTTATAAGCATTTTATCCATCATATAAATTTTACATCCATATTTTCTATTTTGATGTAGGAGTATGTCAAAATGGTTAATGGTGTGGTTTTGAAAAACTTTAGAACCATAATACTAGGGTTAAGTGTCACGTGCTAAAATACCTATGATTTTGTGCATATTATATCATAATATGTGGAGTTTAATGAAATTTACTCTTTGCGTATGTACAGGCAAACGTAGCAGCAGACCAGAAAACTTAGACTCCGGGCAAATCTAAATATATTAAGTATTTTTAAAATTTTATTAATTAATTGTGCTTTTGCCGATCAACCAGGGTGGCCATCGGCTAAGAGCGATCGGCTAAGAGCGAGTATAATAAGATGATGTAAGCAGGCTATACATGTTGTCACATCATATTTGTACTTTTGTGAATAAGAGAGGAGAGGAGAGATAGAAAAAGCATGTTGTCACATCATATTTGTACTTATGTAAATAAGAGAGGAGAGGAGAGAGAAAAAGCATGCTGCAGATTTGTAGCCAGCTACAATACGAGCTCCAATAAACCATATGAGAGAGAAATATGGAGAATACATTAATGGTGTAGTATATATCTATATTTAACTAGTATATTATTAGTAGACTATTAATTAATAAGTTAGTTATAGATGATGTGTTAATTTTTTAAGTTAGTAGTTAGCTATATTATTAAACTTGGTCTAATAGGCAGTGGATCCGCCACTGCTCGAAGAAAAAAAAACATGGTACAATTTATTGTAACTTTTTTATTTTTTTTCTGTGCCATGATTCTGTAGCTGAATATTGGCAGGTACTGTTCACAGGTACATCTGAAACTATACACATGATATTTAAGAAACAGTGGATACACACATCCTAGTCTATCTATCTTCTATCTATCTATTATATACTAAAAGTCCATTAAACTTCCTACAAGCGCTCTCAAGCCGCCACGTGGCATTTCTACAAACGCTCCTAAACCGCCACGTAGCAATGTCTAATCTCACTGTCGATTTTCAATTAAATCGGTGGACCCGAAAATTTGGACCATTAGATTAGATTAAATCTATTTTATTTAAAAAGAAACTAATACCTTACCGTTGGCCGAAAAAAAAGTAAGAATTCCATAAGTACGTACGTACGGCTTAAAACAATAAAACTAAAATACTGTTCATCGGTTCCGGTTCGCTGGGAAAATAACTATAAGTACGTAAGATCAGGAAAGAGCAATCGAGCTTATGCTGCTCACCTACGAGGCTACGATTCGTCAGGAAGGAAAAAACCATGCCAGCTTATCTACGATGAAAAAATTTAAAGCAACGTGTAAACAAATAAAGCCAAAAAATAAACGTACTTAGTACCATCGAAATAAATCGAAAATAGAAACATATGTAGTTACTAGAAAAAGCTCGTGCGTTAAAGCTATTTTAATTTTATTATTAGTGTACGGTTTAGCTAGAGTGAAATTGACTAGGGGAATTCGCTTGGATATTCTTTTTACAAAATCACGAGCTACAATTATGGGACTGATCGTCTCAAATTAGCATGCAAGTTTTTTAAAGTGATTTCTTATATGACTCCCGTATTTGTAAAAACAAACAAAATTAAAAACCGACTCAAACACGGACCTGTATTTCTAAAAAGCGATTGAACTTAAAAACTGACTCAAACACAGATGACGTATCAAAGCACCGGCAAAAACATATTCAATCTATCTATCTATTATATACTAAAAGTCTATTAAACTTCCTACAAACGCTCTCAAACCGCCACGTGGGACTCCTACGGATGTTCCGATATCGCCACACGGCAATCTAATAAATTGGTAGATCCATTATTTCTAACTATTAGATTTACGTTTAAAAGAAAAAAAAAGACCCCATTACCCACCTCCCTCTTCTCTTCCCGCACCAGCCCGTCTTTCAAATTGGTGGACCCATTATTTCTAACTATTAGATTTATCTTTAAAAGAAAAAAAAGACCCCATAACCCACCTCCCTCTTCTCTTCCCGCACCAGCCCATCTTTCCTATATGTACATACATATGTACATTCCTCCTCCCTCCCCTCCTATCTATTCTCCCCTTCTTTCTTTTCTTTAGTTATTAAAATTCTAAAAATTAATAAACTTTAAATAAAAATAATTTACCAAAAAAATTTAGTCATGACTTTTAAATAGATAGAAATCTATTTCTTCCGTATTACTGTTTCCGCTAAATAAATTAGATCTACGATGTAAAAAATAAAAAATAAATAAAATGTGAGTAACATAAAAAAAATATATCCCGACCTTTTGCCATGCCATCCCAACGATTAAAAGGTCTATGAAGAAAATAGATGATATAGATCATATCATCATATATCACTTAAAAAAGATAATTATATTATAACCGTAATATCACAAAATAAAATAATTTAACTCTAATAGTCCCTCCAAAAATACCTCCTTTATAATGTTATCTTTTTATGAAACAAAATAATGTTAATTAAATCTATCATGAAAGTTATTTTGACATTATTATATGTTTAATATTCAAAGCAATCTACGGTATCGCAAAATAAAATATTTTAATTGTGATTAGCATTCAGAAAAAAATATTATCATCATTCTAAAATATCAATATCAATATGTCCAAACAATCTTAATAAATCTGTCAGAAAAAAAAAGACTATGATACCCCTTATTAATTAAAAAGTACGTAGATGGTGAGAAGGTGGTTAGAGTAAGATTGGGTAAACAATAAATGTTAGTTGTTTGGATAGGACAAGTAGTACTACTCTAAAATCCCTTATATTTTGAAACAAAATTTAACTTTCTCAGATTTACGTGACGGGGTATAAATCTATCTTTAATTAGATGACATAGTTCTATTAGCTATATGCTTAATAGAAAATCTTAAATAAATTTATCCTAAAATCCACAAATACATAGAAAGCATAAACGCAATTATTACTTAAAGTTTAGAAATACCCATAGTACAAAATATATATAGTTTCATAGAAATCAACTTCATGGTGGAGACACAATATTTTCTCATAAATTCAAAGTTGCATGCTTTCACACAATTTTAGTTTACAATCTTTTATGCTGCAATGGTAATTAGAAGAATATCGATCATAACCAACATTTAAAGCAATCCCAAATAAATTCGAATAGAGTAGAAATGATATTTCAATAAAAAATCACCTACACATGAACATTTGTAATAAAATTTCAAACAATTTAACAAAATGCCCGCGCATGTGCGCGGGCTACCTTCCTAGTTTCCATAATTGTCACAGCCTAACAGAGGCTTATGTTAATCCCATTATGTATAACTAAGTCATATAAAATTAATTCAATTTTATGTTAATCCCTTAACTCTTGACAGCACCGACCATACGTGTACACAACCCATCCATCATCCTATAAGTGACAGCCCTCCCCTTCCCCATCTCCACTGGGGAGAGGCTAGCTAGGGGAATCCATGCACCAACTTTACATTTCCAAGTGGTGAATTTGGTGACCAGATCGACGAGAGTTGACAGGAGGAGGTGAGAGCTTAGCCAACAAGCCCCAGAATCCCTTCAATTCAATTCCTTCCCCCATCTTGTCGACAAGAACCTGAAGAATATAATGTGCTACTAGCTTCATCACTGATCTAGCTAGATTATTCCCAGCAGCTATTCCAAAATTCCATCCATCTCCAGAGCTCCAATGGATACCACCACTGCAACAGCCATATGCTGCTCGCATCCACGTATAAGTACACCTCTCCCCATGGCCACCATTGAGACACACTACCACTGCTACTCTCTCCATCAGTCCACAAAGAGGAAGGTGGAGGAAGAAGACCTGCAAGGTGAGAGGAGGCCAATGGTGAAGTTCTCCAAGCAGTTCGAGGGCCAGCTTGTGCCCGAATGGAAGGACGCCTTCGTGGACTACTGGCAGCTCAAGAAGGACATCAAGAGGCTGCAGGCTGCGGAGGCGGAGGCGGCCGGGGTGGCGGCGACGACGCCGCTGTCGCAGTGCCAGGCGCCGGTGGCGGCGGCTCACTGGGTCATGAGGCTGCCGTTCTTGCACCCCCATGGACACCACCACAAGGAGCATGGTGCCATCCAGGCATGCAACCACTGCATTTTTATATTAATTTGTGCAAATTACTCCCTCTAGTGAAAAAATATTTAACATTTCGTCCAAGATTTTTGATCAAACTGCTATAGAAACTTGACTCTTGTTTTACATTATAATAAGTTTATGAAATCTAATAAGCTATGATATTAATATAGCACCTTTTTAGACAAATCTACATATACCCCTTTTTTTTCATTTTCAAACTAATCATAAGAATTTGAGAGATTATTGTTGATTAAAGTTTTGAAAGTTTAATCCTATCCTAAACATCAAGGGAAATTTTCAGCAATTTTCATGGTTACGGGTGTTCGTAAAAGTAATAACTGTATCTGTTCTGCTGTTGGCACGTGTGCAATGCAATGCAGGTGCATAGGAAGCTGGCCAGCGGCGGAGGCGGCGGCGGCGGCGCGGTGGCCGGAGAGGTGTACGAAACGGAGCTCGTGGACGGCGGCGCCGGGTTCGCGGACGGCGAGGCGGCGAGGGCCTTCTTCGCGAGGCTGGACGAGCAGCTCAACAAGGTGAACCGCTTCTACGAGCGGAAGGAGGCCGAGTTCGTGGAGCGCGGCGAGTCGCTCCGCCGCCAGCTGCAGATCCTCGCCGAGCTCCGGGCCGCCGTCGTCGCCGAGCAGCAGCGCGACGGGCGCCGCCGCCGATGCGGCAACGGCGGCGACTCCTCGCCGCCGGACACGGAGGATCCCTCCGTCTCCTGCTCCATCCTCCACGGTACGTGCGTACATACTCTCCAGTCTCCATCTCTCTTCTGCTAACACCTGCACGTACTGTGTCATCAAATACGTCACATTAGAATAGTCAAAGTGCACATTAATTAGTTTTTGATGTGTAAATGAACATGATTGAAATGATGGTAATTTTTTGGGACAGATAAGATATAAGTTTGGTGGTGTAGCATTTCGATTAGTACATTGATATTGTTGTTGCCATTCATGCCAGCTGAGAATAGATTTTGATTAGGCAGGCTGACATATACGTATACCCAACACACCCATAGTCTCATATAGATGTATCCTACATATATACACCTATAGCAGAAAGAATCCTGCAAGTGACCATCTTCTTTTTCTCTGAATACAAATAGTTGCATACGCACCAATCAGAAATAATCCATGAATGAACCTATAAAAAAGACGTGCTGAAACGCGCATACAGTTGCTAAAGAAACACGCTTTTGTATTGTTTGGGTCGGATGTGTTCTCTAATCTAAACCATCCCTCTGAATTTAGTAACAACATACAAATTGAAGTAGACTGAACTTATCATTATTCATGACACATCCTCTAAAAAATCACAGGAGATCAGTCCCTCAGAGGCACTTCTGAGCAAGAACAGGAAGGCCAGGAAAAGCTCACCAAAGACATGATTGCAAGGAGCCCTGACGAAGGAGACGATGATCAGCTCACCATCCCTCAAGAATTGGGCGATTCAGGGAGGCTTGGCAGGCCAAGAGAAGAAGCCGCCAACACCAGGCCGAGGACGACGCTCCCAGGAGGCAGGGCGGTCACCTGCCAAGGCAGAAGCGTCAGGATCAACATCCCGGTGACCACGCCGACGAGGACCGTCACCGCCATCCGTGAGCTTCTGTTCGACGACATGCTAAGCCAGTCGAGGAGGAGCGGTAGCGCCAACGGTACAAAATGCGGCGACAAGCTGAGCATCAACAAGAGGAAGGTGCATCAGGCAGAGAAGATGATAAGGGGTGCCCTGATTGAGCTGTACAAGGGATTGGGGTATCTCAAGACATACCGGTAAGTGTAACTGACATGTAATGCTTGGCTTGGTTTTATGCGCGTACTGACAAGACAATCTTGCTGCAGGAGCTTAAACATGATGGCGTTTGTGAAGATTTTGAAGAAATTTGACAAGGTTCCTGCCAATTCCTCTTCCTTCTGATTCCATGACCTGAAATTTATCACGTATTAGAATTTCTGAAAGAACATGAATATCTTCTCATTTCAGGTTACAGCAAAGGAAGCTCAGTCAATATACCTTAAAGTAGTGGAGAGCTCCTACTTCAATGTCTCTGACAAGGTATTTTCCAATCATGCAGAACCTAAAGAAACTCTGAATCAGTTAATTCTATTAACACAGCAAAGATCATGATTTAAAATTCTTTATTTGAACAGGTAATTAGGCTAATGGACGATGTGGATGAGCTGTTTGTGAGGCATTTTGCAGAAGGTGACAAACGGAAAGCAATGAAGTATCTTAAGCCAAATCAGAGGGAAGAATCACACACCACAACATTTTTCATAGGTAATAATTCTTAATAATCTTTGCATTAACTCATCAGCCCAAATTTAAGATTATTTATGCACACGCTTGTCAATTTCCAGGGCTATTCACTGGTGGCTTTGCAGCATTATTCATTGGTTATTGTATCATGGCACACATTGCTGGGATGTACACCCAGCAGTCAAACAAGGTCTACATGGCAACATCATATCCTGTCCTGAGGTCAGCTAAAAAATGCAACTCAACTGCTACAGCACACCTGAAAAAAAACGAAAAATTGCTCTAATTCTGATTAAATGATCTCAAACTGCAGCATGTTCAGCCTCTTCTTTCTGCATCTCTTCCTCTACGGATGCAACATCTTCATGTGGAGAAAGACACGCATAAACTACACATTCATATTTGAATTCACGCCTACCAAAGAGCTGAAGTATCGTGATGTGTTCCTGATTTGCACTACTTCCATGACAATTGTCATTGGTGTTATGTTTGCACACCTGACACTCATTGTCAAAGGGTATTCGTCATGTGCAGTCCAAGCAATACCAGGAGCTCTACTTCTGGTATGCAGTGTTGAACATTCCAAGTGTAAAATTATATGCTTACATTTGAAAGATATTAAACATTTATGAGGTTGGTGCCCATCTATTCAGGTTTTCTTGCTAATATTGGTCTGCCCTTTCAACATACTCTACCGATCATGTCGTTACCACTTCCTAACAGTGATCAGAAACATCATTCTAACCCCTTTCTACAAGGTATTTTTATTATAGTTGAAGAGAAGTAGCTTATCGATGATGTTCTATCAAATTCCACATCCAAAACAAATTGCTAAATATTTGTACGTCTGTAGGTTGTCATGGTTGATTTCTTCATGGCTGATCAGCTTTGCAGCCAGGTAATTACTTAACAGAAGCCACACCTAGGCCTTTACTTGCTCAGCAGAGCACATTTTCAGCATGACGAAAGTGGTTTTGTCACCGTAAGTGTCTGTTTGAGTGATGATTCTGTACAGAAAAAAGACTAATAAAACAATGACTCCTGGAAACTAGGTACCACTGCTTAGGAGCCTAGAGTATCTGGCGTGCTATTACATAACCAGCAGCTACAAGACACAAGACTATGGCTACTGCACCAGAGTGAAGCACTTTAGAGATTTGGCTTATGCAGTATCCTTCCTACCTTACTACTGGAGGGCCATGCAGGTATATAATTCAAATCATACACTGCAACGTCCCTTCTTCAGACAGTATGAAGATTTCATATCTTTTGTTTTGTAATGGTTGGGCAGTGCGCAAGGAGATGGTTTGACGAGGGGGACATAAATCACATTGTCAACCTTGGGAAGTATGTGTCAGCAATGCTTGCTGCTGGAACAAAAGTGGCATACGAGAATGATAACAGTGCTGGATGGCTGTCACTTGTTGTCATTGTGTCGAGTCTCGCCACTATCTACCAACTATACTGGGACTTTGTCAAGGATTGGGGTCTTCTGCAGTTTAACTCCAAGAACCCTTGGCTCCGTAATGATCTGATACTCAAACAAAAGTACATCTATTTCCTTTCCATGGTATGTTCTCTTAAAAAACTAAGGTCCTGCATCAGTACTTTTAGAACAAAGATAGATTTCAGGATACTTACATTAGAATCCTTTTTTTTTTCAGGGTCTGAACCTTATCTTGAGGCTGGCATGGCTTCAGACCGTCATCCACCCTAACATCGGAAGCCTGGATTCCAGAGTAACTTTGTTCATCTTGGCAGCTCTTGAGGTGATTCGACGAGGCCACTGGAACTTCTACAGGTAAAAAACCATAGCTAATTAAGCTACAAAAGTGAACTTAAACCTAGATTGATACTAAGAAAACTTACATGTCAGGTTGGAAAACGAGCACCTAAACAATGCAGGGAAATTCAGAGCTGTGAAGGTTGTTCCACTTCCTTTTCATGAAGTGGAAGAGGACTAACAAAATAGGGCATCATCATCATCATTGCAGCAGATTCTAGGGATTCAGAACTCTAAGCAGTTCAGATGTAACACCAACTAATGTTAGAAAGCCTGCACTACCCTATTATGATTCAATTAAATTTTTTGGTGTGAGGAATAATGGGCATTTAACATGTTCAGTTTGGAGAAGATACAAGCAAAAGGCAAACACTATATAGATGTAGAATACAGGGGTTCCAATTAGTTTACCAAGATCGAATACTAATCTCGTGGAGTTGAAGCGAATTCACTTGTGGAAAAATCCAATCAATCACAATTGTTCTTTTGGCCACTACATCCATTTTGTAATTTGGCTTGCTGGAAATGTAATTTTATCTAGTTAATGGTTGGATGTTTGTTCATCCATAAAATTACCTCAAAAGAGATTAATGGTTGGTTCATTTACCACTTACCAGTTACTTACAAGAAAAAACTGCAACACACCATCCCAGTATTATCACATATTCTGAAAACAAATCCTGGTACTATGAATTGACAATGGTACAGAAATTTTGTGTTCCAGTCAGAAAGCCATATTGATGTTGAAAACCAACCCTCACTTAGTGCTATGACCCATTTACCCATTATGTATTCAAAAAAGACGAAAATATTGCAAATTAATTTAAGGAAAAATCATATGCAAGACAAGCTGGACAATCTAGTACTGACCTCCATTGTTCGTGGAAGCAGAAAGTACGGAAGACTTGATATTGCATTAGCTTTCACCAATGACCAAAAATTTATAGTATATTTCAAGTCATGAAAAAGTCAGCAAACTCTGCAAAAGGGAGAATGACTATATTGAAAACAATAGTGAGCACTCTGTATGTGGTTTACTACAATGTCAGCATTTATATACTCCCTCTGTTTCTAAATGTTTGACACCGTTGACTTTTTAGCACATGTTTGACCGTTCGTCTTATTCAAAAATTTTTGTGAAATATGAAAAACTATATGTATACATGAAAGTATATTTAACAATAAATCAAATGATAGGAAAAAATTAATAATTACTTAATTTTTTGAATAAGACGAATGATCAAACATGTTTAAAAAGTCAATGGTGTCAAATATTTAGAAACGGAGGAGTATATTGTCTCGCCTTCAAGCAAGAAAAACATTGCAAACATGTCCTGTCACCATACGGATTGTTACAGTCCAGTTCTTTTCACCAAATTATTTCCAAAGTATCTCACATAGCATGTTCAGCATGAACTCGTCCATGTAATAGGTAGAGTTCACACAATTAATTCCACTGTCTAGCTAAAACTATGAAGGCTGATTTTCCTGGTGAGCAGAAAAGAAGAATCGGCAGTAAATTATCAGTCATACATTGTTCCAGCTCGATTGCTATGTAGGAATAAGTCTTGGCTGGTTGGTCTTGGTCTTGTGGTGCTTTTTCTTGCTTTTTAGCTTTCTAGGACAGCATCTCTACTTTCAGTTTGGATGCTCTAGGACAGCTAGGACAGCAGTTTGTTGAGATGCTCTAGGACAGTTTGTTGGGATGCTCTAGGACAGCACCCTCTTGCCCTAGCATGGCTGCTACACGCAAGCATCGAGCTACCTCCAGTGGCACCGGCCGCAGCGGCTTTCCTCCACCTTGATGAGCCGAAGGTGCTCGTCTCCCTCTGCAACAGCTCCAGCAACGACAAGGCTGATGGGTGGTACCTCGACACCGGCGCCACCCATCACATGACTGGCCAGCGGGAGGTCTTCACCGAGCTTGACTCCAGCGTCCGAGGCTCCGTCAAGTTTGGGGATGCCTCCGGCGTGGAGATCAAGGGCGTCGGCTCCGTCACCTTCACCGCCAAGTCCGGTGAGCACAGGCTGCTCACCGGAGTCTACTACATCCCCGCGTTGAGAAACTCTATCATCAGCGTGGGACAGCTTGATGAGAACGGCTCACGCGTGTTGGTCGAGCACGGAGTCATGAGGATTTGGGATCGCCGCCGTCGCCTTCTTGCCAAGGTAACCAGAGGCACTAATCGACTATACATCCTCAGCGCGTAGGTCGCACAACCAGTATGCCTCGCCACTCGTCGGGACGATGAGGCGTGGCAGTGGCACGAGCGTTTCGGGCACCTCCACTTTGAGGCCCTGAAGCGGCTCAGTGCCAAGGAGATGGTGCGAGGCCTGCCGTGCCTTGACCACGTGGAGCAGCTCTGCGACGTCTGCGTCCTAACGAAGCAAAGGCGGCTCCCCTTTCCCAGCAGACGAGTTTCCGAGCCAAGGAGCGGCTCGAGCTCGTGCACGGGGACTTGTGTGGCCCAGTGACACCAGCCACACCAGGAGGACGACGTTACTTCCTGCTGCTCGTCGACGACCTCTCCCGCTACATGTGGGTGATGGTCCTCGGCAGCAAGGGAGAGGCTGCGGACGCCATCCGGCACGCGCAGGCTGCTGCAGAGGCGGAGTGCGGCCGCAAGCTGTGCGTGCTGCGCACCGACAACGGCGGCGAATTCACGGCGGCTGAATTCGCGTCGTACTGCGCTGATGAGGGCATTCAGCGCCACTACACCGCGCCGTATAGCCCGCAGCAGAACGGCGTCGTCGAGCGGCGCAACCAGACGGTTGTGGGGATGGCTCGGGCTCTCCTCAAGCAGAGGGGGATGCCGGCCATCTTCTGGGGAGAGGCGGTGGTGACGGCCGTCTACGTCCTCAACCGCTCGCCTACCAAGGCCCTCGATGGCAGGACACCGTATGAGGCTTGGCATGGGCGCAAGCCGGGGGCCTCCCACCTGCGGGTCTTCGGCTGCCTCGCGTTCGTCAAGGAGCTTGGCCACATCGACAAGCTTGACGACAGGAGCACCCCAGGGGTGTTCATCGGCTACGCGGAGGGCTCGAAGGCCTACCGCATCCTCGACCCGGAGACACAGCGTGTGCGCACAGCGCACGACGTAGTGTTCGACAAAGGGCGAGGGTGGGTATGGGACAAGGCGGTGGACGATGGTTCGACTCCGACGTACGACGACTTCACCGTCGAGTACGTCCACTTCGAGGGAGCTGGGGGAGTAGGCAGCTCTTCTTCACCTAGCGTGTCTACCCCAGTCCCCGAGCCTCCACCGACTCCGACACCAACACACTCTTGGGCCACGACTTCGACTACGACGAGCTCTTCACCGACACCACCACAGCCGGCGACCCCACGCCCTCCAGCACCAACAGCCACTCCTCCGAGCACGTCTACTCCGACGCCAGCTCGTGTTGAGCGCAGCCTGGTGGAGTTCGCTACTCCGCTCTCCCACGACAGGGAGCGCATCGACGCGTACCACAACGGCGAGCAGCTACGGTACAGTACGATGGAGGATCTTCTCGGCGACCAGCCGGTGCCGGGACTGGTGCCTTGCGACCTGGAGGCGCAGTTGCACCTTGCGTGCGACGACAGTGAGCCTCGGTCTTTCACAGAGGCCGAGAAACACGTGGCATGGTGTGCCGCGATGCAGTCGGAGATGGACGCGATTCAGGAGAACCACACCTGGGAGCTTGCTGACCTCCCTCGTGGTCACCGTGCGATCACCCTTTAAGTGGGTGTTCAAGCTGAAGAGGGATGAAGCCGGAGCCATCGTCAAGCACAAGGCTCGCTTGGTGGCACGCGGTTTCGTGCAGCAGGAGGGGATCGACTACGACGATGCCTTCGCTCCCGTGGCACGGATGGAGTCCGTGCGACTCCTTCTTGCGCTGGCTGCTCAGGAAGGCTGGGGCGTCCATCACATGGACGTCAAGTTGGCGTTTCTGAACGGCGACTTGAAGAAGGAGGTCTACGTGCACCAGCCGCCGGGATTTGTGATCCCCGGCAAGGAGGGCAAGGTGCTACGCCTGCACAAGGCCCTTTACGGCTTGCGGCAGGCACCGAGGGCGTGGAATGCCAAGTTGGATTCCACGCTCAAGGGGATGGGCTTCGAGCAAAGCCCGCACGAGGTGGCCATCTACCGGCGGGGCAATGGAGGAAATGCCTTGCTGGTGGGTGTCTACGTCGACGACTTGGTGATCACCGGCACCAAGGATGCGGAGGTCGCGGCGTTCAAGGAGGAGATGAAGGCCACCTTCCAGATGAGTGATCTGGGGCCTCTCTCTTTCTACTTGGGGATTGAGGTGCACCAGGACGACTCCGGGATCACGCTTCGACAGACCGCCTACGCCAAGCGCGTCGTTGAGCTGGCTGGGCTCACCGATTGCAACCCAACTCTCACTCCGATGGAGAGACTGAAGCTGAGCCGCGATAGCACGACGGAGGAAGTGGATGCTACACAGTACCGGCGTCTTGTGGGGAGCCTTCGCTACCTCACCCACACACGGCCGGACTTGGCCTTCTCCGTCGGCTACGTCAGTCGGTTCATGCAGCGACCGACAACGGAGCACCAGCAGGCTGTGAAGAGGATCATCCGCTACGTTGCGGGGACTCTCAACCACGGTCTCTACTACCCGAGGTGTCCTGGCAAGGCACACTTCATCGGGTACAGCGACAGCGACCACGCCGGCGACATCGACACCAGCAAGAGCACGAGCGGGATTCTCTTCTTCCTTGGCGAGTGCCTTGTTAGCTGGCAGTCAGTCAAGCAGCAGGTGGTGGCCCTGTCCAGCTGCGAGGCCGAGTACATGGCGGCCTCCGCCGCTTCGACCCAGGCGCACTGGCTTGCTCGACTGCTTAGTGATCTCCTCGGCAGAGATACTGGAGCGGTGAAGCTCAGGGTGGATAGCAAGTCCACTCTGGCCCTGGCAAAGAACCCCGTTTTTCACGAACGGAGCAAGCACATCCGGGTGAGGTACCACTTCATCCGAAGCTACTTGGAGGAAGGGAGCATCAAGGCGAGCTACATCAACACCAAGGACCAGCTTGCGGATTTGCTCACCAAGCCCCTTGGGAGGATCAAGTTCCTTGAGCTCTGCTCCCGGATCGGGATGGCTCAACTTTCCCACAAGACGGCGCACAAGACTTAGGGGGAGAATGTAGGAATAAGTCTTGGCTGGTTGGTCTTGGTCTTGTGGTGCTTTTTCTTGCTTTTTAGCTTTCTAGGACAGCATCTCTACTTTCAGTTTGGATGCTCTAGGACAGCTAGGACAGCAGTTTGTTGAGATGCTCTAGGACAGTTTGTTGGGATGCTCTAGAACAGCACCCTCTTGCCCTAGCATGGCTGCTACAAGCAGCTATAAATGTGTATCCAATCCTCTTTGGGAGGATATGGCTTTGTGTTTTGTGAATGAAGAAAACCAGAAAATTGCCCCATCTCGAGTGCCATCCTCTTCTCAATGAGAGTAACCATTGAAATTCTAACATGCTATGTATCAAATATAACACAAACTTGCATAATTGAGGTATAATCTTACTCTTGTAGTTCTTTCAAATAATAATTTCATATTTGTAGGTATGCACAAATGAACTAATAAATCTTCTTTCCCTTGTAGAAAAAGTTCCATGATATGCATTCTACGACTCATATAAAAGTGAAAAGATTTGCACTCTACAGTATCTCCAGTAGGAAGTTATACAACACCAAGGAAGCAAAAGAGATTTATAATCATCTGAAGCTGCAAAGCGATTCCCATCAAAAAAAAAAAAAAACCTGCAAAGCGATGGTTATGTCAACTCCAAGTTGGCAGATATCAGATTCTTCAGCAATTGATTTATATAGTAATAAATCAGTGATATGTTTTATTCACCTCCAGCGGAAGTAGTTCATACCATCTACCATGCCTGTCTCTAGAATGACACAATGAGCTCGTGTTAAACTTGCTTGAGTACTACCTGCTTGAGAGGTCCATCATCACCTCATCAGTTGGTCAATATTCACAGCCTAGGGCTAGTTGCTTCTCCATCCTTTACCAGTTGCTCTTCAATAAATAAACAAACGATTTTCAGTTGCTTCTCCATCATAATAAGACCCAAGGATTGATACATGTTGCTCTTCAATAAATAAACAAATGATTTTCCGTTCGTGCATGCAAGCTTTCACATTACCCCAAAACATGGTGTTTTGTGAAACAAACTTCAAGATCTGTGGTTTTGTGATACCCATGGACAAAACCTGAGGTTTTGCAGAATTTACTCAACTAAATACTAGTAACTAATTAGTCCAAACCCAAAAGGACCCAAAAGGGTAGGCCTTTCAATTCACACACACTTCATTTTGAAGACAGATTTATGTTGGTAAACATGTAACGTAAACAAATTAGAAGACCATTGGAAACCAAGATAGTTCAAGCTTTAACTGGAAAGAAGAAATTATTGATTACCCAATCCCCAACCATTCTCTAGTCTATGTTCAGATCATGAAATTTCACTGGCATTTTCTGGTAGTGTAACTTGCTGCATTTGCAAATTGCAAACATAGTCACAAGGCTTCAGGCATTCCTTCAGTGCATGAATGTACAGAGCACAGTCAACAGCAAGAATTATCTCTATCTGTCCTGCTTTCAGAGAAAAAAAGGTAGTCAAGCTGACGATCCGCATCAACGTATAATTATGAATCAACAAAGATCATCACAATATAAGAAATGCCAAATGGAAGTAACTATAAGAGCAAGTACAATAAACCTCTAAACACTAGCCCCAAGGAATGTAGGCTTAGATAATGATGTGGAGAAGAGAAGGGAGGAGAGGAGCCACCCCTCATGCAAGATGCAACCTCTACAAAAACTTTAAGGAAAGGGAGAGAAAGAGAGTAGATGATTGGGAGTAAGTGTATTGGGGCTAGTGTACTAGAGCTAGTGTATTGTGTATGTTAACTTTAAATTGGTGAGTACATGATGTAGACAAAATTGGAGGTAACCATCAACTCTACTGTTAAACTTGCTCTAAGAAAGAATTTCACAATAAAAAAAAATAGCAGATGGAATCCAAGTCCTGAGAAATAAGGGAAAATTGACTATTTACCACCCAATGTATATGCCTTTGCTCTTTTTCTATAGAGTAAAATGTCACCAAGTTTAGTCCTTCATTGGCATAATGTCACCACGGCCAACTTTTCTATTGTCTTCTCCCTCATTGGTTTTCTTCCTTATTACCTCAGCAGCAAGCAGGCCAACAGATCTCGTGGTGGTGGCAGATTGGACAAGGGCTTGGAGCTCATTCCAGCGCAACCTCTTCAGTCATGTTCTGCTGCTGCCATGAGTTTGCCCACGAGCATGCAAGCTCAATTGAGACTCCTCGTCTGCCCTGTCCCAATGTGGGGTAAAATGGCTGCCAGAGAAAACAAAGAGAAGATGAATAGGAAGATGGGGTGAAGAACTTGTGAATTGACAACTAAACTCGGTGGCATTATAATGACTATCTACTCGATGGCAAAAGAGCAAAGGCATGTAAACTAGGTGCAAACAGTTTATTTTCGCATGAAAAAATGAAGTAAAAATACATCACATGTTGTGTAAGGAACTATTGCCAGATAGACGGTAAAGCCTAAATACCAACCTCAACTCTATGGTCACTTTCAGATTGTGTAGAGTTAATGATTCTGTCTTGGAGATCAATATTACCCATAAAGTTTGGCGATGCATCTTAGTTCCCTCTCCACAGAAAAGGAAGCATCAGCACATCATCAGTCTTATGTTACTCCAACTTGTAATGCGTTAAATATATCATCTGAAAATCCTTGTGAATCAAGCTGACTACTTCCCACGTCCTTCCTCAATTGCTGGAAGTCTAATAAAGTTCGATTCCGGGCTTTTTCATCCCACATATCAATTGAAGCATGAATGCTGGATAATATAATATATGGTGAAGGATCCTCTGGTTTAATTTCCAGAATCTTCTTTGCTGCCATTCTTCCTAAATCCAAATTACCGTGAACCCTACATGAAGCTAGCAAAGCTTCCCACACCAGTTGGTCTGGTTGACAAGGCATGGCATCAATGAATTTCATCGCATCAGAAAATCTTCCAGCACGGGCAAATAGATCAACCATGCATGTGTAATGTTCCATCTTGGGCTCCAGATTGTACTTGGTCTTCATCTGTTTGAAGTATTCACAACCCTCTGCAACTAGGCCCATTCGGCTACAAGACGACAATAGTCCGACAAAAGTATAATCATCAGGACACACCATTTCTTCTTGCATCATATCAAATAGCTGAATGGCTGCCACCTCATTGCCATGCTGAGAAAAACTTGTGATTAACGCATTCCAAGAGATAATACCCCTATTCCTCATTGAATTAAAAATCTTCAATGCGACCTGAACAACTCCACACTTTGCATACATTGTTACAAGGGCATTCTCCACAGAGGTGTCATCATCAACCCCTAACTTAACCACCCTGGAGTGAATTTGCCATCCACAAGAAAGACTAGAAGTGGCAGAGCAGGCCCGTAACACACTTGTGATGCAAAATATTGATGATTCTAGCCCCTTTCGAACCATTTCCCTAAAGAAGAATAGTGCCTCCTGAGAAAGATCATTCTGCACATAGCAAGTTAATAAAGCTGTCCAGGATATTGTGTCCTTGTTTTCCAATGTATTAAATACAATCTCTGAACTTGCTATATCACCACATTTGCCATAAACAGTGACAATAGCATTCAGAAGTAATGTATCCAACCTAAAAAAATTCTTTAGAGCATAGCAATGAATCTCCTTGACCACTCTAAGTTGTCCTAGTGATGAACAAACCTGCAGCAGGCTAGTTATAGCTGACTGGTCAATAGGCATATGACCCATCAACATGTCCCGGAAAACTCGAACCGCCTCCATATTGCAGCCATTACGTGCATAGGCTGTAAGCAGCGAAGTCCTGGAGAACGCATCATGCCTTATCCGGCAAGCCAACCTAGTTATCTCATCCATTCCACCACATCTACCATACATTGCCAAAAGAGCAGTTCCTAACGCAGGATCTACCTCAGTCCCCATCTTCACCAAGCAGCCGTGAACCTGCTTTCCGCTGGGGAGCAACTCAGGCACATCAAACACCTTCAGGATGCAAGAAAACGTAGCATTTGTTGGCCAAACCTTCAAAACCAGCATCTTCTTGAATAGGACAATAGCTGTGTCACGGTACCCTGAATCCCCATGGTTGACGAGGCAAGCGATCATGCTTGTCCAGCTCAGAACGCTCCTCTGCGGCGTGAGCACAAACGCCCGCCATGACGAGCCCACGCGACCACACTTGGCGTACATGTCGACCAGCGTCCCCGCAACACTCTCGTCCTCGTCGACGCCAAGCTTGACCGCGGAAGCATGCACTTGCTCGCCCGCGACAGCGTCCTTGGCACGGGCACACCCGGCCACCAGCGCGGCGACCGTGAACGAGTTGGGTCGGTCGCGTTCCCCGCCGCGAAGCATGCCGGCGAACAGCGAGAGCGCATCCCCGAGGACGCCGAGGCGGGAGGAGGCCGCGATGAGGACGGACCAGGAGACGACGTTGCGGCGGGGCATTTCGTCGAACACGCCCCGCGCGTCCGCGAGGTGGCCGCGGGCCTGGTACGAGAGGAGGAGGTTGTTGCAGAGGTAGGTGGAGGCGAGGCAGCCGAGCTTGACTGCGGCGCCGTGGACGGCGCGCGGGTGCGAGTGGTGGTGCCCGCCGCTGCCGCGGAGGAGGAGGGCGGCGAGGTGGTCGTGCATCGTGGGTGCCTGGCATCGGCGGCACGTACTCCGCGCGCGCCCTCGGCTCAAGCCCGTCGAGGCCCCGTGTTCGGTAGGATTCCTAGCACGACTCCCCCCAGGCAATGCGGCGGGCTCAGGCGGCCGCCGCCGGTGCGCCGCCCAGCCACCACCGGAGGTTGGGAAGAAGAGGCATGGCTGGGCGCCTCGGCGGCGTCTCGGCCATTTAGGTTAGGCCTGCTTCGAAGGAGGGCCTGCGTGAGAAAGGGGTGATATCTGTGGGCCGTAAATGGGCCGGATCAGTAAGGGCAGCCCATGAGTTGGGCCGGAACTTTCGTCCCTGAACCGAAATATCAGATAGAACGGGTCATCAACTATTAAAATCGGTACAAATAAGATTTTAAAGTGGTTTAGATGGTTGTTTTAGCTAACGTGACGTCTACATGGCTGGCTTGACTTAGTCCTCGTCATACGTGGCAATGACGTGGCATTGAAAGCAAAATATAAAAATTTAAAATTAAAACAAAATATGAGTCCCACATGTCAATCAAACAAAAAATAAAAAAATAATAGGGCCCACGGGTCAGTGGGTCCCACCCTTCTCTCTCTATGGACGACGGTGTGTCGCTGCCTCCTCCTTCCCTCTCCCTTCACGAGCTTCCTTGCCGACCAGACTTCATCGTTTGCAATCTTTGTCAAGAAGGCCAGCCTCGCCGGACTCGACCGCACCATCATCGAGCGCAGCATCGCCATCATCAGCATCGTCTCGGCAAGCCGTTGGTCGCTCCACGACGGCAACTTCACCGTGCTAGTCGACCCGACCCTGACGACGAAAGACCTCGACACCACCAGCTCCTTCACCGACCGAACAATTCCCGCAGCTTCACCGTGCTCATCAACCCGACCACGACAGCGGAAAACCTCAATATCACGTCACCACCAGCTCTTTCACTGGCCCGCTCATCGGCACCCTCATCGCCCTCACTCTCAGGGACGTACCGTAGATGAACGTTGCTGAGGAGAACGGACACTCGCCGGAGATCCAGAAGGCCGATTCGTCGCCACCACCACCAACACGAGTGGAAAAGAACAACGTGGCGAAGGGGATGGAGGTGGACTGCAAGGGGCTGGACCACGTGGATGCGCTGCGGCTGATTCGCCATCGGCAACCGGCTACGGTGCATTAGCAACTGGCTGGTGGTGGCGATGCAAAAGCTGCAGCACCGTCGATGACCACGGAGACCGACGGAAAAGGGGAGCCATGAACGCTGACGGAAGAGGGTGGGACCTACATGTCGGTCCCACTATTTTCTTTATCTTGTCCGACTTATATGTGGGTCTCATATTTTTTTTTAATTTTTATATTTTGCTTCTAGTGCTACCTCGCCGCCACATTGGACGAGGACCCAAGTTAAATCAGCCATGTAGGCGTCACGTCAGCCAAAACCGCCATCCAAATTGTCTTAATATCTTATCTATATTGGTTTTAATAGTTGAGAGATCTGTTGTATCTGGTATTTCAGTTCATGGACGAAAATCAAACTCGCTATCAAATTAAAGGATCTTAAATGAATTTATTCCTAGTACCAATGATGATGTTAAGCGTATTATTTCATAATAAAATAAATAATGGAGTTGCAAATTTTAAAGTATCTGAAATTTCAGGGTTCAAAATTTTAAATATGAGTTAAAGTTTCATAATTTAAGTTGGAATTTTTTAAAAAAATTTGATTTGAAAGTTTTAAATGTAAGTTTAAAGTTTAAATTTTACCGTTCAAATTTTAGATATTAGTTAAAATTATTCATAATTTAAGTTCGGAGTTTGTAAATTTTGAGTTTAAAGTTTCAAAATTTTGGAGTAAAAGTTTTGAAATTTTGGGTTAAAATTTTCAATTTTAAGTTGAATATTCTAAAGTTTTAAGTTTGATTTGAATGTTTTGAATTTTCAGTTAAAAGTTTTAAATTTGAATTATATAAAAAATCAAATTTTATAAAAATTATTTTCAATAAAAATTTTGATAACTTCTAATCTATCCCAAATCGACCAAATCAATTAGCATAAAATGGGAAAAAGAGAAAGGAAAAGAAAAGGTAGAGAGCATACACCCAGACAATTAGAATTAAGAATATTTTGTCGTCGTAAGGATGCCAGCGGAAACATGCATGGGTGCAAGCTTTGCACACCGTGGGCCTTATATGGGTTGATCGTGCACTCATAGCCTTATGTGAGCTGACCTTGTAGCACATATACGTAATTAGCAAAATCGGTGATTATGGGTGGAGAGAAGCCAATGAGGCTCTGATTAATTTTCTATTTTGATTTCTGACGTTTAGGATGGCTTTTTTTCTCTGGACAGGAATCTGGAAGTTTAAGTCCCACAACAAACACAACAAATTTGATAGTTTAAGAAACCAAATGAAACTCAGTTGAATAAAGGAAAATCTGGATTAACATTTTTGGGCTTAGGTTGTCTACAATTTGATCCAAGCTAGCGTTAGAAGTTTCTTAATTTATTTGGTTGTTGTTTGAGATTGTTGTCTTGTGTAATAATCATATTTCAAACTAAATGAGCTTAGTTGAATGAAGTACAAACTGGAATAACATTGTCGGTCTTATATTGCTTGAGTTGTGTTTTTTTTTCTAGATTTTGGTGTGACCATTCAGAGTTTTTTTAGGTGTTTGAGATTATGGGGCCACCTTTTGCTTTCGCTGGCTGCAGCTGGCCAGCTGCAATTCGAGAACAGTGGTTTGTGCCTTGCTTGGCTACCGCTGCATGGGCTTGTTTGGATGACTACTCCAACTTGCCAGGCCACAAGCTACCTCGTGCCACAAGTTTGGCGAACGATTTGAGAGCCACAACTTAGGCTAAGAAACTTTGGCAAAGTAGTTCACGAGCACCTAATTTCTTGTGGCAGGCTAATGTGTGGTAAGCAAACAAACATATGCTAACTACCTGTGGTACACCGAACTTGATGTGCGGTAAACTGAGGCACCTATCCAAACAGGCCTGCTAGCGAAACGGCTACTCCGCGAACGATTCGCCAAATTCCGGTCCGGCGAAGCTGTCGGCCCGGCTTTCTTTCATTTTTCTTATTTCTCTCCTTTTCCATTTTTATTACGTGGGTTAGGCAGAGAAGGAGAGAAGAGAGAAGCTAGAGGGCGTGCATGCATGCAGCTTTGCCGCCTCTTGCTACTGAAGTGGTATCCACACGGGATATTTTTACGTGATAAACTCATTTAGTTTTGTTGCATTTACTATTTTGTTTATCTAGTTTATTACACTATATATGTGCGATATAGTTTCTACTTGTTGACTTATTTTCATTGCTTTAATTTTTTGCTTCAATAGTAGATACTCCCTCCATCCCAGGAAAAAAAATCTAGGATTGGATGTGACACATAACAGTACAACTAATTTAGACAGAGGTATATTGAAATTCGTAGTACTAGATTGTGTCACATCTAGTACTAGGTTGGTTTTTTATAGGACGGAGGGAGTACACTGCAAGTTGTGTCCTTTAGAAGTCATGATTTATAAAATAAATATATTTATTTCAATATAAAAAAATCGAGTACAAAGTTTATGTTTATAAAGTTTCTGAGTATAAAATTTATGTGTATAAAGTTTCCGAGTAAAAAGTTTATGTGTATAAAGTTTCCGAGTATAAAGTTTCTGAGTAAAGAGTTTGTGTTTGGTTGATTGCTTCACTTTGCCACGTCACACTTCAGTCATGTCACAGTTTTTAGGCGTGTGTTGTTTCAATGCCATAGTTGTGTCATGCCACACTTTCCTACCCTTAAGTCCCACATGTCATACTCAGATAACTAAAGCTAACATTGCCACACTTGTGGCTAATTATTTCTTGGCCATACTTTTGCCACATGCCACAACTTGCCTAAGCTTAGTTTTGGCAAGCTTAGGCATCAACCAAACAAATTCTCATGTAAAGTTTACTAGTAGAAAGTTTTTAAGAATTTATGTAGGCATTTAGTCCATGAAAAAAAATAAAAGAAATAGTGTTTGGATAGATATTAATTGGAATAATTTATGGTAAAAAATAAAGTTATGTTTCTTCTTTAAAGAAATCTTAATAGTAAATCATTATTTTTCCTAATTAAAACGTTAATTAAGGAGGGTGCTTAATTACGATCATGGAGAGTAGTATCGAGGGTTGCAACAGATGAGTCCCGTGGGGACACATGATGCGTGGACGATGACCCAGCGGAATAGAGCGTGTTTGGTTGCTGCCCTGGAGCAAACTTGCCTGGCCTGAAGCCTGCCTGACTGGCTCCATGCATTTGTTTGGTTGGCATCCTGAGAAGTAGCCTGACACAGACGAGTGAGCTCAGGCTCAAGCGTAGGAATATGGTGGCCTGAGTCAGGCAACTAGGTTAAGAGGAAAAGTTGGTTCAAATTGGAATAGTCATGCCATGTGTTAAAATGTGGTACTGGTTGCTTGTACTAAATACTTGAGTTCTGAATATTTTATTCTTTCTCTGTTTGCTTTCACGTGATTCAATTTCTCAGGCCAAAGTCACCAACCAAACAACACATTTCATAGGATGCCTGGCTAGGCAAGTATAACCCCAAGTTTTTCTTCCACACAGGCTTGTGTTTTTCTCAGGCACCTTGCTCAGGGCATCAACCAAACAGGCGCAATATGCGTATTGCGAAGTCAAGCTAGAAGCTTACCGCTTTTGGTTGTTGTTTATCGTTCGCGCTATACGAACACTCGTGCATCAGACGCGCCCGTCTTATAGATGGCCAAATGGGCTGCTTAGCCCGACCTAGCTCGGGCACGACCAGGCCCGGGCTCGAGATCAGTCAAGTCAGCACAACACGACCTATATGGGCTGCACCAACAGCTTAGACATGGCCCAATAAAACTCGGGTTGTGCCGGGCTGGCCCTAAAGCACACTATGCTCCTTCTTGGAATAAAGGCTATTTTGCCTCCCTCATCTCCTTGGGCCATGTCTTCTATAGCTAGAATAAGTCTATTTTGTATCCTTCATCTCTTTGGGCCATGCCTTATATGGCTAAATAAGTCAATCCCTCATCTATTTTGCCTCCTGATCATTGGACCATGCCTTTCCGGGCCAGCCCACTTTGACAAGGCAGAGGCCCAAGCACAGCCCAACGATGGCCCAGGCTGACATGGGCCCGACACCAGTTGGGCCATGCTGTGCCTGGGCCAGGCCAAAACCCTGTGCCGTGGTCCGGGCCGTCGGGCCCCAGGCCTCCAATAGTCCT